CGGTACTGGAGCTGCCGGTTCTACTAGAGTTGGTGCTGCTGGAGCTGCTGGAGTTACTGGAGCTGGAGCTGCTAGGGATGTCGACGCTGGTGGTTCTGCTGGCGCAAGTGGTTCTGCTGGCGCTGGTGCGTCTGAGGGTGCTGGAGTTTGCTCTGTTGGCGCTGGCGGTGCTGCAGACACTGGTGCTGCCGCTCGGGGTACTGGTGCTGTCCCTGCTAGTTCTGGAGGCACTGCGCAGCCGCGGCCGTACTTCGTTCCGCTACTTGAGCAGGTTCTTGGTCTCCCGCCCTCTACTGGTCCTGCTCCTCCCTTAGAGTGTCCACAGCCTGTCCAGTCGCAGTCACAGTTACAGCCCGCCTCCCCCTTGCCTGCTCCTTCTCCCTACACTGGTCCTACTGGATGTCTTGCTGAGCGTTGTGAGCCTGTGTCTCGTCCTGTGTCGCCTGTTCGTGCTACTCGCACTAGTCGTCGTGCTCCGCGTCCGCGTCCTCCTGCGGTCCCAGGCACACACCAGATGGCACCTTGTCCGTCCAATGCTCCTCTACGTGTCCCGTTGCTGTCTCCTCCAGAGTCGTCTCTTCCTGTCCTTGCTAGCCTAGAGTCTGACTCTCTCCGTGCTGCCAGTCCTACTGTCACGCGTCTCCTGGCTACTGTTGTCACTGACCCTTCCTTTCATTCCACTGCTGCATCTGCCTTAGTTGCTGAGCTTGTTGACTTTGCTGCTCGCTGTCGTCTAGACTACGCCACTAGTCTTGTTGCTGAGTCTGCGTCTGGCTGTCCTCCGTCCGTCGGGGGTGGATGTGCTCTTAGCACGGACGTCCTTGAGGACAGGTAGGGGGAGTTCCAGTGTTTTGCTGCTGCTTTGCCTCATCTCGTGTCTACGCTGATTGCCCCTGAGGGAGACCCGGATGCACCAGACATCCCGACTCCTCGATCGTACGCTGAGGCAATCGAGGGTCCCTACTTTTCTCAGTAACAGTCAGCCATGGACGCAGAGATGGCTTCCTGGAAGTCCACAGGCACCTACGTCGACGAGGATCCCCCACCTGGGGCGAACATTGTCAGTGGCATGTGGATTTTCAGGGTGAAGCGGCCGCCGGGTTCTCCGCCAGTTTTCAAGGCGCGTTACGTGGCTCGAGGCTTCAGTCACCGGCACGGAGTTGACTACTTTCAGACCTTCTCTCCCACCCTGAAGATGACCACTCTTCGGGTGCTGCTGCACATAGCCGCTCAGCGCGACTACGAGCTTCACTCTCTTGACTTCAGCACTGCTTTCCTACAGGGTAGCCTGCACGAGGAGATCTGGTTGCGCCGCCCTCCTGGCTTCACTGGGTCGTTTCCTCCTGGTACCCAATGGAGCCTCTGGCGGCCAGTCTACAGTCTCCGCCAGGCGCCCCGTGAGTGGCACGACACACTGAGGACTACACTTGCGGCTCTTGGGTTTGCTCCTTCTAGTGTTGACCTGCCGCTCTTTCTACGCACCGACACCTCTTTGCCGCCGTTCTACATCCTTGTGTACGTCGACGACTTGGTCTTTGCTACTGCTGACACTGCTGGACTCGCCCACGTGAAGTCCGAGCTGCAGAAGAGACACACGTGCACAGACCTGGGTGAACTGCGCAGCTTCCTTGGCTTGCAGATCACCCGGGACAGAGCACAGCGCACCATTACCCTGACTCAGTCATATATGGTGCAGCAGGTCCTTCAGCGCTTCGACTTCACGTACTCCTCGCCTCAGGCCACTCTTCTGTCTACTCGCCACTCGCTCTCAGCTCTGCCTTCGGATGAGTCCGTAGAGCCGAGTGGCCCGTACCCAGAGCTTGTTGGCTGCCTCATGTACCTGATGACTTGCACACGACCTGACCTTGCATACCCTCTTAGCATCTTGGCACGCTATGTTGCTCCTGGGAGACACCGACCAGAGCACATGGCTGCAGCGAAGAGGGTGTTGCGCTACTTGTGCAGTACGTCGGGCATGGGGCTAGTGCTTGGAGGGCGATGTTGAGTGGTCCTCACAGGTCACGCAGACGCTTCTTGGGCTGACGACCAGGCTACGCAGCGGTCGTCACAGGGTTACACCTTCAGCCTTGGTTCCCGCTCTGTTTCGTAGCGGTCTACCTGCTCGTCTTCTGTTCTCGGCTCCAGCTGTGAGGCCAAGATCTACGCGGGGGCCATGGCTGCACAGGAGTTTCGCTGGCTCACCTACCTGCTGACTGACCTAGGAGAGGCGCCTCGTTCTCCTCCAGTTCTGGCCTTGTGTCGAGAGCACAGACTGGAGCACAGAACGAAGCACATTGCTCTTCGCTACTTCCTTGCTCGTGAACTACAGCAGCGTGGTCAGCTGCGCCTTGCTTACGTGGCCTCTGAGGCCAACACTGCTGATATCTTTACCAAGGCACTTCCGCCTGGTGATCATCAGCGTTTCTGTAGGATGCTAGGTCTTGTGCCTACATCACAAAAACCCTATGCCAAGTTTGGACGAATTTTGATTGGGATTGTCTTCGCGTAAAAAATTCGGGACCGAATTTCGACCGACGGTTTGAGTCATTTGATAGGAGCTCCGACACACATCTCGCGACAAGGCTTGGCTCGGGTCAAGTTCCAATTTGGCACGCGTGCTGTTCCGGCTGACATTTGCGCGCAATCCGTTTAGGGTCAGTTTTGTGACCAAATCATTTAAAAATGGATTTTGTTTTTGTTTTATTCTGGGAATTGAGGATTTCAGAATTACATTCAATATTCGCGGGTTACAGCTTCCATTATTCAGCATTCTAACAACCAGCAGTTTTAACACCCAGTCAAATAGTCTACGCAATGGTGGGCCCTGCAAGCCCCTGGTAGGCAAGAACAACATCTCCAAGGTCGCCATCGTCGATGAGGAACTTGTTCGGGAAGACGAACGCACCCTGAGCCGGATTGTGTGGGATGCGTCGCTCCACAACGGCAAAGTGTATCATCTGTTTGACCTTGTCACACCACTTGAAGTAGTCCGGTCTGTTTTGTTCCGGCTGGGCCGGAATACGCTTGCGGCGCTTGTCCTGCAGAAGGGGCCACTCGATCTGCAATGTGGTGTAGGGTTGGGTGGATGGTGTATGAGGGGAGGTTATGGGCATATGATCCAACTGAAAGCAGTGAAGACGTCACACCCTACGTAACCGCAAACGCCTAAGCGATCTGGGTTTTAGATGAAGTACAGGCGAGGGGTTTAGGGGATGAGGCATGGGTGTAGTGTCACTTATCTACCTCCTTACCGAAAACAGGCCCCATGCCACCATCCGGCTCTTGAACTTGGTGAACACGACCCCGCTCCTCTTGAAGGAGAGCTTGAACGCATAAGCAAACAAGGGGTTGCTGAAGGGCGTTCCGGTGGCCTTGTCAAAGTGCCAGTTGAGGGTCCACTGTTCTGCATTTTGGGAGGGAGCGTATGGGTTGGAAAGGGGGTGCAGATAGATCAAGTGGGGGGGGTGAGAGACAGGGTCAGAGTACCACGGCACGGTTATTTGTAGCTGCTGACTGGCTTATGGGCAGGGGGATATGGTGTGTTTGAGACGCACATACCATCTCTGTACTCGGCCAGGAGCTGCTCGTCGTTGAACCACTTCTCCGGGCGTAGCTCAGTGGGCAGGCTATCCACCGCATTGGCGTAATCGGAGAGACCCATGCCGGCGTACGTTGCTGGCCTGAGGGTGCTGTTGATTGTTGACCTGGTTGATGACATCTGGTGGTTGAAGACACCCATGGTTGACTTGTCGTTGTGCAACCACAGCAGCTTCATTGACTCTAGCCCTTCGTGAGACAAGTGGACAGCGAACGCCTCGAACACTTCCTCCGGTGCAGGGTAATACTGAATCTTCTCCGGGGGGTTCAGAAACAGGAGCTGAGAGCACACTAAGTAGGCTTTGCTCTGCGCATGGGTGTGGATTTACAGCACGACACGGGGAGAGAGAAACCATCAATTATGACTCTGGCCGCGGGACCAACCCTCCCGCGTCCGCCACGTCAGGGAGGAACCAGCCCCACTTGCCACGTCACATCCACCCACCCCATGCCACGTCACCCCCCACCCACCCTCCTGCATCCGCCAAATCCACCAACGACCCTCCCCACGTGACACGTCACACCCACCCTCCCCATGCCACGTCACCCCCACCCACCTGACACGTGTAGCGTCGTCACGCGCCGCTCCCGTGTACCCTTCCAAGCCGCCACGTCAGCACCAAGCCACACATCCCGCCACGTCACACGCCCTTGCGTCTGCCACGTCAGGGATCAGCCAGCCCCACATGACACGTCACACCCACCCTCCCCATGCCACGTCACCCCCCACCCACCTGACACGTGTAGCGTCGTCACGCGCCGCTCCCGTGTACCCTACCAAGCCGCCACGTCAGCACCAAGCCACACATCCCGCCACGGCACACCCTCCTGCATCCGCCACGTCAGGGAGCAGCCAGCCCCACGTGACACGTCACACCCGCCCACCCCATGCCACGTCACCCCCCACTCACCTGACACGCGTCGCCTCGTTGAGCGCCGCTCCCTTGTGCCCTTCCAAGCCGCCACGTCAGCACCAAGCCACACATCCCGCCACGTCACACGCCCTTGCGTCCGCCACGTCAGGGATCAGCCAGCCCCACGTGCCACGTCATACCCGCCCACCCCATGCCACGTCACCAAGCCACCCACCGCACACGTGTAGCGTCGTCACGCGCCGCTCCCGTGTACCCTTCCAAGCCGCCACGTCAGCACCAAGCCACACATCCCGCCACTGCACACCCTCCTGCATCCGCCATGTCAGGGAGCAGCCAGCCCCACGTGACACGTCACACCCGCCCACCCCATGCCACGTCACCCCCCACCCACCTGACACGCGTCGCCTCGTTAAGCGCCGCTCCCTTGTGCCCTTCCAAGCCGCCACGTCAGCACCAAGCCACACATCCCGCCACGTCACACGCCCTTGCGTCCGCCACGTCAGGGATCAGCCAGCTCCACGTGCCACGTCATACCCGCCCACCCCATGCCACGTCACCAAGCCACCCACCGCACACGTGTAGCATCGTCACGCGCCGCTCCCGTGTACCCTTCCAAGCCGCCACGTTAGCACCAAGCCACACATCCCGCCACGGCACACCCTCCTGCATCCGCCACGTCAGGTAGCAGCCAGCCCCACGTGCCACGTCACACCCGCCCACCCCATGCCACGTCACACCCCACCCACCTGACACGCGGCGCCTCGTTGAGCGCCGCTCCCGTGTGCCCTTCCAAGGTGCCACGTCAGCACCAAGCCACACATCCCGCCACGTCACACCCTCTTGCGTCCGCCGTCTAAACCCACCAACCCAACCCACTTGCCACGTCGCACACAGAGATCCGAAAGAGCCACGTCAGCCCCCGCCCACGTGTGGAGTCACGTGTCACCCTGCACCGCTCCCGCGCACCCTTTCCAACCACCAGGTCATTCCCAACCCTGCCCTGGTTGCCACGTCAACCCCAACCCGCCACATACCGGGAATGGGTTGGTCTCCTGCAGCACAAGCACATGTGCCTTGTCCACGGCACTCATCGGCGGCGGGGTACCACCCATCGGCACCACTGCGGCCCCCCCGGCATAGCTGGCAGTTGCTCCCCGACGCAGGCCGAGCTGAGCAAACATGGCGTACATCTCAGACCGTAGTTGCTGGAACTCGTCTCGTGTAACAAACTGCCCGTGCTCTGCACCTTCAGCCAGCGCATCCATGACATCCGGAAAAGGGTGTGTAGAAACCCCTCTCTGGCCAAGGGGATCAACGTCTTCTGCAGCAGCACCGTGTGCCCTCACACTATCACGCTGGCGGGAAAAGGGAAGCTCAGGGAAGGGATTGGCAAAGGTGCTTGGTTGATGCACACGCGATGGACCGGCGAGGGGGGAGACCGCCCTGCCCCGGGCTGGAGAAGCGTGTAGTGGCCGAAATGGGTATGAGGGAGAGGCGAGTGGGGAGTGCGTGACGGGGGCTGGTGGAGGGGATTCGGATTCCTCGCCTGTTGCCGCGCCGGGTGCAGTCGCAGCGACTTTGCTCGGGCCGGAGTATGGCGTGAAGAACCTTGGTCCTCCTGTGGATAGCGGTGCCACACTCGCTCTTCCGGCCCCTTTCGCTAGCTGCATCCGTTGCACGGTTACCGGTGGCCCAATGCCTGTAACACGGGGGGCTGAGAGTCATACGGAGGATGAGCACGGAGCTGGTGTCTGTAAGGTGCATTTGGACATGTGCAAACATGACGAGCAACCGCATGATTCTAACATGGGTGTAGCACGGAACTGTAGTGTATAGTCACGCCTTACCCGGGTTAGCCGATTCGTCAACCTTCTCCTTCCCTGCGGCGGGAAAAGACGGGTGGAACACGGTGTTGTTAGGGTCTGTTCAGCACAAACCGTGGCAGCTATGCCAGTCGTTTGTGACACATTGCTTACCACGTTGCTGTCCCTTCGGTTTTGCTGCCTGCTCCTTATCGTTGCCCCGTTTCCGCGGTGTGCTTTGGCGGGTGCTGCCTCGTTTACGGGCAGGTTCTTTCTTTGCCGAACCCACAGGTACCCCTTTCGCGCGCGGTCTTTTTCCGTCTCCATCGCCTTTAGCTCCCTGTCTCACTTGCTTCCTTCCACCCCGGTCAAGTTCAACCTTCACCTTACGCGCCTTCGATTTGCCCGCTGGTCCGGCACGCATTGCGTCACCCGCCCCGCGTTTCCGGGATTGTCCAGACCGGCCCACCACCTTCCCTGTGCCACTCCCCCGTCCGCCTCGCGCGCCCCGTCTTTTCCCTGCCGGCTCCTCCTCCTCCTCCTCCTCATCCGCCCCTTCCTCCACCTCCTCTTCCTCCTCGTCGTCCTCCTCCTCCTCATCCTCCTCCTCATCATCCTCCTCCTCCTCTTCCTCCTCCTCCTCCTCCTCCTGCTCCTCCTCCTCCTCCTCCTCCTCCTCCTCCTCATCCTCCTCCTCCTCCTCCTGCTCCTCATCCTCGTCGTCCCCCTCATCGTCCTCCTCATCGTCCTCATCCTCATCCTCCTCCTCCTCCTCCTCCTCCTCATCATCGTCGCCCTCCTGCTCATCCTCGTCCTTTTCTCCCTCCCCTGCATCCTCGTCCTCCTCCTCCGCATCCTCCTCGGCCTCCTCCTCCCCATCCCCCTCGTCCTCAACATCCGCTTCACCAGGGCCTTCTTTGCCGCGCTTCGGCCTATTCCCCCCCGAAGATTGCTTCCCCCTCCGTCCGCTAGATGGTTTCCTCGGACCGGATCCCACCTTATGCCGCATTGCATGATCTGTCGCCAAGCCACTTGGCGCCGTGGTGCCTCGCATTGTCCCAACTTCAGCACCACCGGCGTCGTCACCGCTGGCTGTCGTCTGCCTCCTCTACGCGCGTATGGGCATGTCCTCAGCCACGGGGGTGTCATTCTCCTCCTCACCATCGCTCTTCCTCTGCCTACGCCTCCCGCGTCCCCCAGAGGGAGGAGATCCACCTACGTCGGCAATGTCGTGTTTCGGCCCCTCCGTGCAATCGTGCACAGCATCCTTCTCCTTATCTATCACTGCAGCAGATATTTCGACCACGGGCGGGTGGGGCAGCGTCAGATGCTGCTGCTTTGCCTCTGCCACGGACGTCGAAGTTGCGGCCTGATCTTGGCGGGGAGAGTCGCCGTGCTTTCCTCCAGTCGCAAAGCCCTCTCTGTCCCCCGACCGGACGGCAACACTCACGCCGCCACGCCCAGGGTCTTCGTTCCCGCCGATGGTGCCGTCGTCAGAAGGACCGGGCTCGAGGGCAGCAGTGGCAACATCCGCATCGCTCCTGACGGCCGAAACACGCTTGCGTGCCGTTGGTTGCTTCCCCTTGTCCTCCGCCTTCTTCCCGGGCTTCTGCTTTCCCACCTCAGCCTTTTTCCCCGCCGCACGTTTCGTTTGATTGGTTTGCGCGGCGGCCTTTTTAGTAGCCCTAGATCTGGCCCCACCCTCTTGGTCGGTCTAATGCAACATCCTTCGTGTCGTGCGTCGTTTCGCCTCCTCCTTCTGCTTTTCTGTTTGCTGAGTAGCAGGTGTCATGAGGGTGGTACGAATGCAAGTTTTAAATTGCGGGATTGGGTAGCTGAGTTTAAAAAAAAAACCGGAAAGGTTTGTTGCTATTTGACCCCGTCCCGGTGAAGCCAATACTTTTTCACCCTAAATCGGAAGGTACAATTACACCTGAATTAGTAGCTACTAAGCACATGGCGTCAGCCCTTTCCTTCGTCGCTACTCCGTCTAACTGGCGATTTGGAAACTCCTGTGTTCAGCAGCGAGCGGCGTCAAGGTAGTGGGTATGAGGGTGACGGAAGCTGGTGAGTGGGGCACGACGGTATTTGGGGTGGTTTGCGAGTCTATCGAGAGGACTATAAGCAGAACACGCACCATCGGACGGTCTACGATTTGCCTCCCGATCAGAAACGCACTACACGCTTGATCACAGTCGCTGCTTCCGCGGCGAATGTCCAGCTTGGCTGGTGCGGTAGTGGGGAGGGTCATTTGAGATGCGTCGGCCAATCAGCGCCAACGCATCAATCTCCACGGAATCTAGTACCGTTTCGACACCACCAATCATCACATCCTGCAAAATACAGTGCCTAGTGCAATGATCAAATTTTAACAGAGTAGCTGAATACACTTGCAAAGTACAACTAAGACAATTTGAAGTGAATAGCCGTTTATGGTGTCATATGGTGTGAAGTTTAGTGAGTGCATGGGGCTTAGGACGCACTCTTTGTGCTTCCAACTCGTGGACTATGGAATGCTATACTGAGCACACATTGAGAATGGGCGACGGATACTGGTCGTTGGAAGTTGTTCAAGCACGACGTGTACTAGTGCCAACTAGAATGGAGATGTAGTCTGGTGTTGGCTTGGGCTCCATTCTTGCGTGGGCCCTCGACATGGTGAATTGAGGGTGTGGGATGAAGCACAGGCCCAACGCACGAGCGTTGATGCGCAATCGACATCGTTGTTTAGTTTGGCGACGTTGCTGCGTTCGCATCCATACAATGCTTGCGCGACCAGGCGAATCCGTTGTGGAATGGTGTTGGATGGGGCTCCATTCTTGCATGGGCCCTCCGCCAGGTGCATTGAGGGTGTGGGATGAAGCACAGGCCCAACGCACGAGCGTTGATGCGCAATCGACATCGCTGTTTAGTTTGGCGACGTTGCTGCGTTCGCATCCATACAATGCTTGCGCGACCAGGCGAATCCGTTGTGGAATGGTGTTGGATGGGGCTCCATTCTTGCATGGCCCCTCCGCCAGATGCATTGAGAGTGTGGGATGAAGCACAGGCCCAACGCATGAGCGTTGATGCGCAATCGACATCGCTGTTTAGTTTGGCGACGTTGCTGCGTTCGCATCCATACAAGGCTTGCGCGACCAGGCGAATCCGTTGTGGAATGGTGTTGGATGGGGCTCCATTCTTGCATGGGCCCTCCGCCAGGTGCATTGAGGGTGTGGGATGAAGCACAGGCCCAACGCATGAGCGTTGATGCGCAATCGACATCGCTGTTTAGTTTGGCGACGTTGCTGCGTTCGCATCCATACAAGGCTTGCGCGACCAGGCGAATCCGTTGTGGAATGGTGTTGGATGGGGCTCCATTCTTGCATGGGCCCTTTGCCAGGTGCATTGAGGGTGTGGGATGAAGCACAGGCCCAACGCACGAGCGTTGATGCACAATCGACATCGCTGTTTAGTTTGGCGACGGTGCTGCGTTCGCATCCATACAAGGCTTGCGCGACCAGGCGAATCCGTTGTGGTACGGTGTTGGATTGTCATCTAACCTTGCACGGACATTCAAGTAGGTGCCTCAAAGGGGTATGAAGTAGAGCCACAACGCACAATCGGCGATGCGTTATCGTGAGGGCACGAAGTTCTTGTGTACTTCCCGTATGTTGCCAGACCACACTAGAGATCTTGTATGGTTTTTAGAATGTCACGTTGTCAACTAGGGGTGGATCTCGAGCAGGCATTTTCATGTGACCGTGTAGTAGTTATCATCAACGAGTTTAGAGTATAGATTAAATGCAATTGTACAATGTAATATCCTGCGCTGTATTTTGTCCGTTGTCGAGCTCACCACTGTGAGCTCACTAACGTGAGCGCGATCTCCCCCGTATAACAATTCGCAACTGAACTACAGATCCAAACGGATCTCTTCCCGCTCTTCCTCATCCCACTCGACTCTCACGCACCAAGAGTGCATGAATCCACAGGCACGTCCTTCTCACCGAGCTCGCAACGCACACACAAGACCTACCGTCTTAGAATCAAGCGCATTCTCCGCTGCTCCATGTGCCTTGTCACGACCGCGCGGCGCGCACATCGTTAGGCACGTCCAAACATAAGCTGCCCGCTCAAGTGCCAGTCGTGCAGTGATACAAGCCGCCTTGAACAGTGCACGGTTTGGCGATGACCGTGTTGCATTACCAGCCTTCTTGCACGGAGTACTTAATGCCTTCTCAAGCTTCCCACGACGCTCGTTGCTTCACAGGCAATTCCTCAACACTTAGAGAGATCCGTACCGCATGGGCTCCTTACCTGGCGTCGTCTGCAAGTTTTGCAATAGATGGTTCCCCAACGCCCAAGTTTATGGCGGTCACAAGTCACGGCGGACCCCTTGCCAAGGCCTTTCCGCCCTGGCAAGGCCCTCGCAATCTGCACCATCCGCCGGACTACACACACTGCTATTCGTGCAAGAGATTCTGTCGGACGCTCCCGCTGCTCCCGCTTCACCTACCGCGTATAATGCGTCCAACACCGACGCTGTGAATGGTCCTCCTCGCGTGCATGAAGCTGAAGATGACGCAACACCCTCGGCTGGGAACGTGGGGGCTTCTGAATCTGAGCATCAACCGCCACCCGGAACACCTTCAGATGACACGAGTGCGGATCCGGGGTGCCGCCCTGGAGTGAGTCACGCGGCCCCGCCGACAATCATCTCCGGGGAGAGCAATGCGACGCCCCTCAATCCGATTGCGTTGAAGCTGCTGCACTTCGTGAGGCGTGTAAATGGCGGAATGGGCATGGCGGAGATCGACATCAATGGCCTGCTTCAGCTCGTGGTGGAGCCTGGCCTTGCGCCTCTTGTGATCTCAGAGATCCGGAACTGCAAGGATCTGGAGAGGTTCGAGATGGAGCGCTTGGTAGGGCTCAATCGCGGATGGTCAGTGGCGACCTTCGAGATTAAGGGTCATCCTCCACAACTCCTCTTCCAGAACTCTGCGCAGGTAAGCCGGCCGTGGATGCGTGGCTGCGAAATGCAGATTCCGCCTCCATTTGGTCCATGTGTGCGATCCGACCCTTCCCCGCTCCCGCCACTAAACCCCTGTTTGGTTCTCCCCCGCTCTTGATGCCGTACTCCAGGCTTTTGCTGAACTGTTTGGGCACACCAACAACGCGCCCGGCTTCAAGCTCAAGGCTCGTGTCGATGAGGACCATGGCACAGGCGAGCGTCACTATACCACGCCAGAAACTGGAACGTGGTGGAACGATGCTCAGGTATGTAAATACCCCGCTGCCACCCAAAACCACACGCGTGCGCCGTCCTCCGTTGACGCGCTGATGTGTAGGGAGCATCTTCAGTGCGTCATGTTAGTGGGGAGTGTTATGTACCATGCTTACTCCGCCAGGCGACACATTACCTTGGTGGTGTTTGACCGTGGGGGTTTTCCGTCTTTGTCGTGCATGCAGGAACACTTCGGATGGTCCGAAGTCGTGGGGGGTATCATCCTATATTCGGATGTGACGCACATGAGCAACAACGGCCGGAAGAAGGCGTGGCCGCTCATGATGACGCTTGCCAACATCTCCCAGGCCAAGCGATGGGGGAAAGCTGGGCACACGCTACTTGCTCTCCTTCCTATCCCCCCTTCGGCAATGTCTGCTGTTGAAAAGGTGATGCTCTTCCAGCGATGCGTCCTCACCGTGCTGCAGCCGCTTCTCGATGGCATGGACAGGTCCGTACTCGATTTCCGTCATGCTATGTTGTCACCGTGTGCACAGCATAGTGTGCGCAGCGCTTTTGTATGTTGCATTACCCTTTGCCCCTCCTCGCTGATGCACAGAGTGGTCATAGCTGTTGACGTTACCACTCTACCCGTTCCTTGCAGCGGCTTCCATCTCAGGGACCCTTTCGGTGATTGGCAAACAGTGCGGCCACTGCTGTACGCCTGGGTGTGCGACTACCCCGAGAGCGACAAGATTAGTTGCACACTCTCGCATGGATCGCGGATGCCGTGCAGCATCTGC